AACCAGGGGACTGTTGTTAGGAGGAGCTGGGAGGAGCCACACAGCCCAATCCCCTGATGGATATATCTGGTGGGGGTGGAGTTAGCATGGAATTGTATTTTTGAACAGTCAGTCCAAAGAATCTGCTACCACACACACCTGGTAACCCAAAGATGACTCCCCTCCCCACTGTAGAGCTCAGGCTTCTCCTGCCATGGGATGTGAGCAGCAGGATTCTGCCCCTTGTATTCATGTGTGGCTTCCCAGAGACTAAGGGTAGCGAAGCATGGTCCTCCCCATCCCCAGAACATAGCTCAGTCACCAACAGCAGGGTCGCACCAACAAATAATTAAAGAATGAAGGACACAGCTCAGATCCAGTTATGCACACGCCTGTGTTTGTTCTTGATGGTTAGAGACTCACATAACATGGAAATCCTGATCTCACCAGTCTGATATATTTTGGGTCCCAAGACTCAGGATCTACAGCAGACTGTTAAGAATCAGACTCAAGAGGGGCAGAAGAGGCAGGCAAATCTCTGTGGGTTCAAGATTGGTTTGATCTACATAGGTTCGAGCCAGCCAAAGCTATGTAGTAAGAACTTGTCTCAAAAAAACAAAAATTAAAAGAAAAGTTCATTTTCTGACAGTGGTGGTGCATACTTTTAACCCCAGCATTTGGAAGGCAGAGACAGGTGGATCTTTGAGTTCTGGGCCAGCCTGGTCTACAGAGTGAGCTCCAGGACAGCCAGGGCTACATACAGAGAAACCCTGTCTCAAAAAACAAAGAAGGAGAAAAAGAGAAGGAAAAAGAAGAACGATAAGAATGAACAAGAACGAGAATGAACAAGAACAAGAATGAACTAGAACAAGGAAGAACAAGAACCAGATTCAGCACCCAGGAGAACAACTGAAATTGCTGCAGGGCACTCAGTGACTCTGTCTGGGGCGGGAAGAGCCTGGTGTAGAACATTATCTTAACTAGGCAAAGATGTGTTACTTTGTTTATGCTGAGGAATGTTACTTAAACTGTGTAAAAGCTTTGTTGCTTTTGTTTATGCTGTACTTGTTTAATGATGCAAGGATGTGTGTTTAACTATGAAAAGCATCTGTTTTACCTTGCCTGCCTATGGTACCTGATTGGTTTAATAAAAAGCTGAACAGCCAATAGCTAGGCAGAGAAAGGATAGGTGGAGCTAGCAGGCAGAGAGAATAAACAGGAGAACCCTAGGCTCAAAAAGAAGAAAAGAACAAAAGGAGAGAATGAGGGAGACGCCTGGGACAAGAAGCCAGGCAGACACCAGTCAGCCAGACACAGAGAAGCAGTGAAAGGAAGATTTGCAGAATTAAGAAAGCAAAAGGTAGATAAAGCGAACAGGTTGATTTAAGTTCAAAGAGCCAGCCAGAGATGTGCCTAAGCTAGGCTGAGCATTCAAAGCTAATAATAAGTCTCTGTGTTGCAATTTGGGAGCTGGTTGGTGGTTTAAAAGAAAAAGGCTGGGACAGGAGCCAGTTCTGATCCTTTGAACCATTTTGCTTCTGGCCCAAGCCAAGTGGTTGACGGGACCACAGGAGGAGCAGCGACTCAGCCCTCACACCGTCCCTCCTTTCATTTCCTGTAGGGTACTCTCCAGTTGGAATCTCCCACACCCAGGAACCGCCTCCTGGTCACCTGTGGAATGCGAATGGCTAAGCTCCCTCTCTCTCCCGAAGGTCCAGCCCTTTGGCGAGCTGGCCCTTGTGGTTCCCTGGTCCTTCACTGCCCTGCTGAAAGGCTGCTTTTGTGTTCTTTCCCAGGCCTATCACAGCCCAACTGGGTGCCACTTCAGGTCACCCCCACTTTGCACAGACGCCTCTCAGTCATGTCCCCGGGTGTCCAGGTGCACGGACTTTATTTCCCACCCGTAGAACCATGGGATTCTTATGGAAAGATCCCCTGGCTGCCGAGACTTACTCAACACAGTGGCACTTACTCAAGACTAGGTGACCCATTGACCCCCATCACGTTCTCGTGGTGCACTGACCAAGATCTGCACCTGGAGGAAAAATCCTGAAGTCTCTCTCAGCAGGAGAGATCCCGGGCCGATCAATGGTCGTAAGCGGCTCGGTCCCTTTCCTTGCTGAGGTTAGGGTTGACTACTTAGAAGCGGGTTTAGCTTACAGCATTAAAGTGATGAGGAAGTAGGCAGAGGTCCTATTGGCCATTCCACGAAGCTCTTTCTGTCCTTGCCACTGTCATCTCTGGAGGGTGACCCTGATCCCCAGGGCTAACGCGGATGCCGGAGCTCCAACCACCAGACTCATGTTGTAGTCAGAAAAGACCTCCCTGAAAGACCACCCAGTGCCTTCACACTGAACGGAAGGGGTCATATGACCAAACTCAGATATATCGGAAATCAGGAAATGTAGCCTTTAATCCAGGGATTAGGAATGCAGAACTGTCTGCAGGACTGCTCACCTCTCTAGACTAGAGGAAGCGGGAGAGCACACAGGTGAAACCTGACTGGCTGTGAAAGGAACGTGGGGCCAGTAGGGCACTTGCGTGCGCACGAACATCAGAGGATGTTGGAGAGCTGTGGCTCATTTTCTTAGATATAGCTATAGATTAATGGCAATTTAGGGATACATATGTATTCTCAAATAGTTCAAGTTATTGTTTACTTAGGAATAAATTAAAATGCACTATATAAGCAGGTTTAAAAGACAGAGTAAACACATAAGAAAAGACAGAATTCCCAAGTCTAGATGGACTTTGGGTATTATCCCATTTGTTTAGATTTTTGCACATCTCAAAATTTTTATTATAAATATTAGGGACCATCATTCTGCATCTGGTTTGGCTATCCCAAGGCTTTCTCGTGGTGAGGCTAACAGGCTCCTGGTGAAAGGCAGGGACTCGAGCCAGTCAATGCAAAGGGCAATAAGATGGATCCCTACAGTCCTGGCCATGGCGCGTGAGTCATCCGGGACCTCCTGTCCCAGTTGCGGAGAGCTGTTCTGTGTACCTCTTAGTGCCCTCCTGGGGCTCCTGACTCATTGCTGCCAAGAGTAGGTACAGACCTAGACTGAAAACCTAGATTTGCATCTAGCCCATAAGCCAGTTCCAGCAATTAGCACATCAGCACATTCTGTGAGGACTGGAGATGCCACGTCAGGCGTGAAGACGTCAGCCTTCTCTTAGCAGGTCAGACAGCACAGTCCTGTCCCAGCATAGCCTCTGGCTGACTGTCCTTCCCCAGGTCAGACGGCAGGAGAGCCTCGGCTAGACAGCTCAGTGCTCTCCCAGCATAGCCTCTGGCTGACTGTCCTTCCCCACTGAGATCACAGCCCAAAGAGTTCACACTTGATAGCCCTGTCGTGAGGCCCAGGATGACAACACCAGTGATCTCGGGTGCCATCCAGACTAGGTCCCCAAGCTGCTCCATACTGTGTCATTTTCCACTTGTCTATGTTACCCACAATCGGATGGCATGTTTTCCTGTTCCTCTTAATGGGCAACTGTACACAAAAGTATTGGCCACAGAACCACATCAGAAGCAGACCATCAGGTGAACCAGCTGACTTTCTCCAAATGTCAAACACACCCATGCTGACCAACCACTACCACTCTCAGAACCAGCTTCACTTCACACCCAAGCCGGGCCCAGGAGCGTGGACGAGGGTGTCCACTGGGGCTCTAGGAGACATCAAATGCTGGCAGTCACCAAGGCATCATGAAGAGACTGGCTAAATACGTCCTCCTGACAGACAAGCCTGACCGACAGGAGGCAACAGCATCAGCGCCATCTTAAAACAGCGAAGGAACTGCAGAACTGTCCCGTGTTAGTCGTGTGAAATGCTAAGCAGCTATAAACACAGACAAGGGCAGGCACTCCACCCCCACAGCACAGTGTACTCGTACGTGGGTGCTTCCATGGAGAGGGGAGTCCGAGAGGACACACTACAAACAGAAGTCGTTTCTGCAGAGTGCGGTTAGGTGGCAGGGGGACGTTTATACATTTGAGAGTACTGGTTTTTGTTTGTTTTGAGTCAGGGTTTCTGTGTGGCCCTGGCTGTCCTGGAACTCACTCTGTAGACCAGGCAGGACTCAAACTCAAAAGAGTTCTGCTTGTCTCTGCTTCCTGAGCGCTGGATTAAACCCGGTCGAGAGTACTGTATTTTTTAATCTTTGAGAATAATATATAGTGTACTGGCTAGTTTGTAGGTCAGCTTGACACAGGATAGAACCAGCACTAGAGGGAACCCAAGCTGAGAAAATGCCCCCACCAGATCGGCCTGTGATGTATTTTCTTGATTACTGATTGACATAGGAGAGCACAGACCTCTGTGGCTGGGGCCACCACTGGGCAGGCAGTCCTGTGTCCTGGAAGAAAGCAGACTGAGCAAGCCATAAGGACTAAGACAGTAGACACACCTCTCCATGGCCTCTGCATCAGCTCCTGCCCTGCTTGATCTTGCCCTGACTTTCCCTTAGTAATGGAGTGTGATCCAGAAGCATAGGACAAAAATAAACTCTTTCTTCACTGAGTTACTTTCAGTAATAGTGTTTTATCAAAGAAAAAACATCTCTAAGAAACAGTGCTTTTGAAATTTAAGCAGTGATATGATGTGCTTTGGAGAATCAGGCTGGCTTCTCATGGAGGAAAGTAATGATGACCCCATCTCCAATGTTCCAGCAATAATAGTATATGCTAGCAATGCTCTCTCTCTCTCTCTCTCTCTCTCTCTCTCTCTCTCTCTCTCTCTCTCTCTGTGTGTGTGTGTGTGTGTGTGTGTGTGATAGAGAAGCCACTGTGACAAATGGTGACCCCTAGTGGCTCAAAATGAAGGACACATAGACTTTACTGACCCCTGCAACTTTTGACTATGTTTGAAATATTCTCAAAATAAAGTCAGAAATGTAATAGAAATTAAGTCAACTGAAAGGCAGAGTCCTGGGAAGCCTTCTGCAGACCAGGGAGTGGAGACCCAGAAAGACCTTCAGCATATGGGCAGAGACCTGGCCCCCAGGAAGGGACAGGATTTTAAAACAGGCTTAAATGGCTTTATTTTCTCCATGATTTTTCCTCCCAAAGAGCAATGTCCTCATACTACCGAGAGATCCCAGGACTTAAACCCAGAAGTGACACTAGAGTTTGTGGTCTCATTAGAGAAAGCCTTCACTGTCTCGTGACACCCAGGACACTTGTGCAGTCCAGCTGGGCCCACAGTTCAAGGGTCATGGCTAGAGACAGAGCTTCCTCTCATGATGCGGCCACCGGGTGCTCGAGGTGCGCACGTTCTGGATGGGGCGTCTGGTAGGAGCTCTCACCTCCGATGATCTGCTCCAATGGCCTCTGTGACTGTGTTAAAACCCCGCTCTCTGGAAAGGAAACAAAATCTGTCGTCAGGAGGCCCACGCTTGCCATGGGCACGCTGTTGGGCACACCATCCCCCCAGCACACCTTATGACCACTACTCTGCCCTCACCAAGGCCCCTGCACACACGTCTGCCTGGGCCTTCTGTGCAGGAAGGGAAGTGACTTTATACTGCAGTTCCTGGACACTGAGTCAATGTCAATTCACTACCTGCTTCATTCTGCTAGGCTTCCTCCATCCCTGGTCCCTGGGCAAGCGGCAGGCCTTGCCTTGTAATAAGTACTGCCTCGGAATCATCCTGAATTCCTTGGCACTGGTTTGTCTTTGGCCAAAGATGCAGCAGAGACATTTTCCCGCCCTGCTGTCTGTGTTTCCCTCCAGCCCTCTGGGCGTGCACAACAGACGGATGACCAGTGTTGCTTTCTAGTTAACCTCTCTGACAAACTTCCCTGTCAGGCTGCGTCAAGCCCCACTCACTTTAGAAGTGCCTCCAGCTCACGCTTGACCCTGACCACGACAGGTGGCCCCAGGAAGGTGAGGGCCGTGTACAGCTGCACCAGGGAGGCTCCGGCCTGGATCTTCTCCAGCGCATCCTGCCCGCTGCTCACACCTCCAACCCCAATAATGGGAATCCTGCCTGGAGAGAAGCGCACAGCAAGGCCAAGGAGGCGGTGTAAGGACTCAGGTCTCCTCAGGCCTCAGTCCTGGCAAACACCACAGCAGATGAGGTAAGAACCAGAGCCTTGGGAGTCTAAAGAAGCCTTGCCTTGAGTGAGGGCGTACATCTCCCGGATGGTCTGGGTTGACAAATCTCGGAGTGGCTTCCCACTCAGTCCTCCCACCTCGGAGCGCAGAGCACCTTGGAGGCCGGTAGGGCGACTCACTGTGGTGTTTGTGACGATCAGTCCATCGATGCCCAGCTGCAGCGTGAGAAGAGAAAGAGCCTTAAGCCATGGATCTGAGAGGTTCAAAGAGACTGTCTCCTTTGAGGATTGAAGCAGCCAGCAGGCCAGGGGCCAGTTCTGCAGAGCAGGACCCTCACGGTCTCACCCACATCTAGACTGGAGAGACGTATCAGAACGAGCCTCTCAATGTGACACAGCAGTGTCTCACAGCGAGCCCATGACAGCGCCTAAGCAGGGTTTGACCTTAGCTGTCTGTGAGTATCTCAGGGAGTACGTGGTAGCACCGGGATTGAAATCCAGGACTGCTGGACTATGTTCCTACTACCCTGTATAGCCAGAGAAACCTGCTGTTGGAACTGGCTGGAAAGGGACAGACCTGAGACTGACAGACAGGCTAGCACAGGTCTTAGACTTTCTGGATGAAGACAGATCAGAAGCAAGAAAAAGACTCGCCAAACACATTTCACTCACCGGGGGGGACTATACAGTGACAGACAACGAACCAGCCTTCCACTCCACATAGAGGAAGTCACCAACCATGTCATTTTGTGTTATCCCAGCAGCAACGGACGACGGAGGCTACCCCCACTCTACCCGGGACCACTGTGACTCAAACCTCTCTCGCCACACTGGCAATGTCCTCCTTGTCCTGGGCTGTGAGGTCAGGGGCGATCTTCACCAGCACGGCTGGCTTCCGCACTCCCTTCAAGGCGTCCCTCTCCTGCAGCACCTAGGAGGACAAGCCAGAGATGGGGACCCCACCCCACAGCCAGGCAGTGCGGAACAGCGTTTTCACATACAGTCAACTAAAGCACAGCAGTTTCTCCCCTTGGGATAACCTCTCAGGTTGATTTTATTCCGAAAACAAGCAAGGAGATGTGGTCACAAGGACTGTGCAGTGAGCAGACATTCCGTTCACACACAGTGCTGGGGACAGTGTGACACCCGAGAGCCATGCCAGCTCTGGCTGCCTGTAGTTTTACAGCAGTTAACTGCCTACTGGGGATGGGTATGACTGGGGATGTGAGAGATGAGACGGTGCCTGGAAAAGGTATGATGAGGGTTCCTAGGCCAGACGTGAAGAACAGCTTCACCAGAAGAATGAACCGGAGTAAGGGCAGCAGGCTGGTCAAAGGAACATGTGATGGTGTAATGACACACCTTGGCCAGCAGGAGGCGCAGCTCAGTCTTTCCCTGGAGGCTCCTCAGGCCAGCAGTGTTGGGACTGGACACATTGACCACGAGGTAGTCAGCCAAGGGGCCCAGGACACGAACGCCCTCTACATAGTCTGCAGCAGCATCCACCGAAGTCTTATTCTTTCCCAGGTTTATTCCCAGGGGCAGACCATCTGTGAAGAGCAAGTTTCCCAGGCAACATTTTGAGTACAGGTGGGACTCCCCTGAATCAGCGCTTTCCTGACAGAAAAGGTTCATTCCTCGGGCTGCTGCCTGATCGCGGAGAACCGCTTCATCGTCTGTCTCTACATGGCAAGTGTGTGCACATACAAGGATGCTTCTGGCATGCTAAGCCTTTTATCTTTTAAATTTTAAATAGAGAAATTAGAAACCTAAATACTAGGAAAAAACAGAAAAACAGTAGGAAGCTGCGCATGGTGGGCACTTGTAAGCCCAGTTCTCAGGAGGTGCAGGTAAGAAAATCAGGAGTTCAAGGTCATCCTCAACAACATAGCAAGTTCAAGATCAACCTGGGCTACCTGAGACCAGTCTCAAGAAAACAAACAAACAAACAAAGAAATACAGGGCTATGGAGATTGCATCTCAGTGGCACAGCACTTGTTCAGCAAGCAGGAGGCCCCCAACAGAAGCCCTAACACCAAAAAGACTTGAAACTTACTAAGGCCCCATTCCCAGCAGAGCACAGCGATATTCTCCAGGCTTCCTCACCACCCCATCCTCTGTCACAGCTGCCAGCTCCCGCAGGGACTCCCTAAGAACCCTCCAGCCCCACTGGCCAGGGGATCAGTCTCCACTCTCCCACCTGTCCCCAATGCCGACCTCCCAGTCTTATGCCAACTTTGCAGCATTCAACCTGCTGTGGCCTCTCCTTCCTCTGTCCTCAGTCCCAGGGGACAGACCCTGGTAGCACACCCGTCTTTCCTTCCACCTGTGGACCCTCTCAGCACCCTTGCTAGTCCATCCTCCCTCCTTAGTGTCAGCTCCCAACCCCAGGAAACACTTCCAACCCAGGCCCGCCATGGCTGCACCTGGCAGGATCTCAGAAGCATTCCCTGCCAGGCAACCAACCTACAGTTACCACACTCCCCTAGTGGGGGCAACAGAAACCAAGGGACTGAGGATCACTCCAACAAAGACAAGAACAGATATCAGCACCCAGAATTACAATCATCTCAAACCCAAATGCCCACATGCCAGCGTAAAAACCCGGTAACAGCCAGGGCAATGTCTCCACTGGAGCCCAGCAACCCTATGACAGCAGCCCTGGGAATTGCTGTAAGGGAAACACATGACAGGGATCTAAGAATAGCTATTATGAGCATGTTCAGGGCCCTTAAAGAGGATATAAATAAATCTATTCATGAAAACACAAACAGTGAAATGAAATGAAAAAAGCAGTTCAATACGTGAAAGAGGAAATCGCTAAAGAAAACCCAAACTGAGGTAAAGCTGAAAATGAAAATTGTAGGAACTAGAACAGGAACCTTGGAAGCAAGCCTCACCAAAATTATACAAGAGATGGAAGAGAGAATCTCAAGCACTGAAGACAATATAGAAGAAAATGATACCTCAAAGAAAATGTTAAATCTAAAATAAAACAAAATAAACAATCCAGGCACAAAACATCCAGGAGATCGAGAACACTGTGAAAATACCAAATCTATGAGTAATGGGCAGAGCAAAAAGGAGAAGAAACCCAGGTTAAAGTCACAGAAAATATTTTCAACAAAATCATAGACAAAAAGTTACCTAACCTAAAGAAGGAAGTGCCTATCATGGTACAAGAAGCAAATCAAACACCAAACAGACTGAACCAAAAAATAAATTCCCCACAACACATAATAATAATAAAAAAATGTATAGAACAAAGAAAGAATAGCAAAAGCTGCAATAGAAAAAGACTAGATAACATATAAAGGCAGACAAACCTATTAGAATAACACCTGGTGCATGCCTTTAATCCCAGCACTCGGGAGGCAAAGGCAAGCAGATCTCTGTGAGTTTGAGGCCAGCCTGGTCTACAGAGCTAGTTCCAGGACAGCCAGGGCTACCCAGAGAAACCCTGTCTTGAAAAACCTAGATAAATAAATAAATTAATTAAAAAAAAAACACAGAACAACACCTGACTACAATACAGACTCTAAAAGCCAGAAGGGCCTGGATGTTCTACCACAGATGCTATATCCAGCAACACTTTCAAGCAGAGTAGATGGAGAAAGAAGGGCATTCCACGAAAAATGAAATTAAAGTGGTTTCTATCTACAAATCCAGCGCTACAGAGGGTGCTACAAGAAAAACTTCAGCCTGGAGCAGTTAACCACACCAAAACACAAGGATTAAATGATCTCAGACCAGCAAATCAAAAGACATAGCAACAATATAACAGGAATCAACAAACACTGATCACTGATAAGTCTCAGTATCAATGGCCTCAACTTCCCAATAAAAAAAACACAGACTAACAGACTGTGTTCAAAACCTGGAAGCTCTAGAACAAAAGGAAGAAATCACACCCAAAAGGAGTAGATGGCAGAAATAAACTCAGGGCTGAAATCAATGAAATTGAAACAAACAAACAAAAACAATGCAAAGAATTGAAACAAAGGGTTGGTTCTTTGAGAAAATCAGTAAGACTGACAAATGCTCCTTCCCAAAGCAATGTGCCTTACCCTCTCTCAGGAGTGGATGGGGGGGTGGAGGTGGAGGGAACGGGAGGAGAAGGAGGAGTGGGAACTGGGATTGGTGTATAAAATAGAAAAGATAGTTTTTTTTAATTAAAAAAAAAGATTGACAAACCCTTAGCCAAATTAATTAAAGCTGAAGAGGGAAGATCCAAGTTAACAAAATTAGAGATGAAAAGGGAGACATAATGACAGATACCAAGGAAATCCAAGGAATTATAGGGACATTTTAAAAACCTGTACTCCATCAAATTGGAAAATCGAAAAGAAATGGATAATTTTCTTGATATATACCATCTATCAACGATAAATTAAGATCAGATAAACAATGTAAACAGACCTATAACCCCTAGTGAAATAGAAACAGTCAATAAAAGCCTCCCAAACAAAAAATGCCCAGGGCCACAGGGTTTTAATACAGAATTTGACCAGACTTTCAAAGAAGACATTCAAAGAAGTTGTTGGCCAAAGGGGCCCCAAGAGAACCCAAACAACCTAGACTATTGCCAACTGATGGCAAACCCTATTGCTGAAGACAACACCTACACAATCATTGGGTATGGATGAGTCGGGCTGGAGCTACCTTCGTCCTTCATCCCTCTGGTCTAGTGTTCACGGTACTGTAAGGCACTCTACAAGCTACCAAATGAGAGCGGTAAACACCAACCCAGCTACAAACATTTTTGATCTACAATGAGGCCCTGCCTGGAGGATGCACTAGTGAAACAGCACAAAACTTATGGGAGTGACCAACCAGTATCTGAGTGGACGTAAGGCCCACTCCAGGAGATGGAAGCCACCCTCAACACTGCTTGGTGGCCAAGGATCTGAGATCAGACAAGTCGGGGACAGAGGGGAAAAACCAAATACTACTGTTCTGTTAAAGAAATGTAGCAACAAAATGACTCCTAAAAACATCCTGCTAGACTCATAGATCAGTGCCTTGCCAAAGTTAGAAATATACACATTGAATGGGCATGCCAGCAAAAGCAACCTGAATCTCATGAGCCTTGGTCAAGGCACTGTATGTGAAATGGTTGGAGGCCACACATGGGGATTCAGCCTGCTGTAAGTCTGAGCATGCCTGAGCTTCACAGAAAAACACGAGAAAACGTTTTCAACTATCATGCCTAAAAGGCAGATAGAGGTGTGTCATAAACCTTTTTTGTTCTCCGTTGTGAAATAGTTCAAGATGTGTTACCTTCATTTATGCTGTGAAACATTTGTTTAATGATGCAAAGATGTGTTGCGTTCTTTTATGTTGCATTTGTTTAACTCTGAAGCTGGGTTACTGTGCCTGTCTAAAACACCTGATTGCTCTAACAGAGAGCTGAACAGCCGGTAGGCAGGAGGACAGGCAGGGCTGCCAGGCAGAGAGAATAAATAGAGGAGAAATCTAGGCTCAAACGAGGGGCAAGGAGCAAGAAGAGGAGAGGAAAAGAAGAGGAGGAGAGGAGGACAACAGGGGCCAAACAGCTACACAGCCTGTGACAGAAGGAAAGAAAGATATACAGAAGAAAGAAAGAAAAAAGCCCAGAGGCCAAACATAGTTAAAGAGAAATGGGATAATTAAGCTAGAAAGCTCGCTAGAAACAAGTCAAGCTAAGGCCAGGCATTCATAAGTAAGAATAAATCCCCATGTGGTGGACTCCCAAAGAGAAAGAGAAAAAAAACAGTTCTCTGAGAAAAGAACTTATAATTGGGGTGATCATACATCTCCACAGCCCCACGTTGTTCCTCGGGCCTGGTGTAACCACCCACACCTGTCCCCTGTCACTCTCAAAGGCTCTAATGCTCTTTCAGACTCATGCTTTCTGTGGCAGAAAGGGCCTTTATGACAAGGCCTCGCATGTCAGTGGTCCAGTGTGCTGTCTGTCCGTCTGCCACTCCTGCACAGACCTACACCACCCAGCCAGCTCACCCATGCCAGGCCAGGGAGGACATGGGTGACACCCTGTGCTGCAAGCCTCCTTCTCACAGCCCACCACCTTCTTGGTCATCAGATTTCTGTAACTCACTTCCTAAGTGGTCTCAAAGCTTCAAGTCCAGCACCCAGTAGGCAGGATCACTTGTTAGCTTCAGCACACGTGAGCCGCGTGGAGAGAACGGCTTCCTGAGTACCTGGGCCTTGCACAGTGCTCACCCGTGCACGGGCACGATTCCGGAGTGAGGAAGGCCGAGTTACTCTTTACACAGAGCGCCGTCTTGTCTTTCAGCTCGTGTTCCTAGGCCTGGTGCTGGCTGAAAGTGTCTATGAGGCCGCCAGCTGCCAGCAGAGGCCTGTGGGCAAGGCACGGACACGGGACTTGGCCTCACTCCAATGAATGTGAGGGCACAGACTGAGGGTGAAGGGTGGACACGGGACAATGGTGAGAAAGCCAGCCCACAGAGAGAGCACTGTGGGCACTGAAAAGAAAAGAGAAAGCAGAAGGCAGGAGAACACCACAAACCACAGACATCATGTTAAGACCTTCACAGTTCTGCAGGGTCAGCAGGGTCTGGCTCTGTCAAAGCCAGGGTGTTTTCTGTTTTGTTTTGTTCTGTTTGTTTTTTGTTTGGGGGTTTTGTTTATTTGTTTTTCAAGACAGGGTTTCTCAACCTCACAGGAATCCTCCTGCCTCTGCCTCCCAAGTGCTGGGATTAAAGGTGTGCATAAGTACACGGCCAAAGTCAGCGGTTTTTAAACAATGTCATTTCCTACATCCACCATTCAGCCCTTTCTTCCTTAGCTCCTCAAATAAATGCAGAAGTCCTTGGCTTAATCTTCATGCTAGGAGAACATCAAAGGAGACTAAGACCTCCTGAAAGACACTGCAGAGGCGAAGGAGAAACACCCCCCACCCCCCGGAACTACAGAAGGCGTGTGGGAAGCCATGGGCAGAGGGCCGCCACCCAGGGCTCTGACCCAAAAATGCACCTCCGAGAGCAAAGCAGACCACAGAGGACAAAGACATCTCCATGAAAAGCCACCAAAAGCGAGGCCTGAGGACAGCTGGTCCCGAGTGGGAAGGCGTGCGACACCTTTGCTCTGCTCTTAGCGTAGCGCACACCATTTACACAGTGAACAAAAGGACAGCCGGGCTGGACGTGCAGGGATGCACTCGGGTTACATCTTAGCTACACACACGCTCTCTGCTGACCCCAAGCCTCCAAGTTAGAACACAATCCAGGTTCCATGGGTGCCGGAGACCAGAAAGGCTGTGCTGAATTATGACATTCGTTACGACCTTTGAGGCCGTAGTGGAAGCTGGACTGTCCCCCACCGAGAGGAGCCTGAGCGGCTTTGTGTGGTTTTTATTGTTTGTTTCCTATCGCTGGACCACATGCCCTCCCCACATATTTCTCTGTATAGAGGAAGAGAGACCCTCCCACGACTCCCCACTTTACCTGCAGTGAGCTTGGTCTGCTTCTGCTGTCGGGCCCGTAGCCTGTGTTCTACCACCGAGAGCCCGTGGCTGTTGAATCCGTACCTGGTGCACATAAATGCACAGGGAAGGGTGGAGTTGGAAGGTGACAGTTGGAAAAGCACCCGAGACCATTTCCATGCTCTCACAGTGGCTACTCTCTATTGTCAAATGGATGGGAGTTTGAGTCGCCATGGAAACACACCTGTGGTGTGTCTGTACGACTGTTCCCAGGAAGGTTGAATAGAGCAGGGAGGACCCACCACGAACACGGGCAGCACCAGCCCATGGGCTCACATCCCAAACCGAGTAAGGAGAAAGAGACACAAACACCAGCATCCTCCACTCTCTGCTTCGTCACTGGAGGTGCAAAGTGGCCCTCTGCCTTAGGCTGCTGCCACCAGGGGGCCTTGTGCCCTCAGACAGTGAGCCAAAATAAACGCCCCCTCCTTAAGCTAATTTTTGTCAGTACTCCGTCCCGGAAACAAGAATGATAACTAATGGGGATTGGTTATATCGCTTTGTAGCTTGCAGCCAGAGCAACGCAGCATGGGCAGTGGCCCGTGGATCTGCTGGCACAGAAAATACTCACTGATCCTTCAGCGTGTCTATGCTGAACACATACCATGTACATGAGCAAGAAGACTAAGTGTGCATGTGCCCAGGAGCACAGGCGCCTGCCCCTCACCACTCCCTGCCCCATGGGGTTCTGCCAAGTACATTGCCCAAAGTCTCATGTAACAGCCAAATCAGAAACACAAGTATTTTGCCTGACCAGCCCTAAAGACACTGGTCTCTGCCGTAATGCAACAGAAAGATCTATGACCTGTAGAGAAGCATTCTGAAATAAGCAGTAGGAAGCATGGCCACAGGTCTGCCAAAATCCTCACCAGGAAGCTCTCCAAAAATCTCCCCGCAAAAAGTATGAAGGTTTTCCCTTTGCAGTTATACTAAGTACTCAAAACCATGAAGGCTGAGGCTTCACGCAGTCGGAAGGACTCCTCCTCCTAAGAGCAGCCGTACATGTTGAACACTCCATCCTTGTTCATCCAAAGCAAGGGCCAATTGTGCAGTACCAAGGCTGCTGACTGCATGTGGCCACCAACTCTGCCCAAGTGAGAGGAACCAGAAGTAAAGGCACATGGGTGTCAGAGGACCAGAAGCCAATAAAAGGGGAGTGTAGTTAGTCAATGGTTTTTACATCAGCTGCAGGTTAAGATGGTTTTAGAATACACTGTTTATACTTAAATCTTATAATTATAAATACATTATCAAGTTCATTCCTTTTTCTAGTTTTTAATGTAGTCATGAGAATATTTCAAATTACAAGTGAGATCATTATATTCTTATAGGCCAACCCTGGACCAGGGCAACGGAGTAACAATGTAGAAAAGTGCACACTGTCAAGTCCAAGCCTTTTCCCAGCTGTTCTCTGCAACCAGCACCAGCTCTCAGAGCCTCAGCAGGAACACCTGGTACAATCCTAACAGCTATTTTCTAAGGCTGGGGTGAGCGCTGCCTCGTGTTCAAAAGGGCTCCTGAATACTCCAAATGACAGAATGTCCTCCCACCATAGGAGAAAAGCAGAAGGCGGGTCTTCCATCACAGAGATTCCGGCAGGGGAGGAAATTAACCTCCCCCCACCCCCCACCCCCGACCCTGAGCCACTCCCTACACTCCCTACCTGTTAATGACAGCTTGGTCCTCCGGGAGGCGGAATACTCTGGGTCTGGGGTTTCCTTCCTGAGGCTGGGGAGTCACACTTCCGACCTCAACAAAACCAAAGCCCAGCTTGTAGAGGCCATCCACAGCTTCCCCGTGTTTGTCAAATCCTGCAGCAATCCCTACTGGATTTCGGAATTTATGGCCCAGGACTCTCACTTCCTGGAAAGGAGACAAGGGCAGAGGTGTATGTGGCTACACCAAGTGGTTCTCACAGCAGGACTCCCAGCATCCTGCAGCAGAAGTCCCCTAGAGCTTGCTAAGCATCAGTGGGCCCACAGAATAGGGATCTTTGGGAGGAAGGACACTCTGAGGTGTCTCTCTGCAGGTGCTTCTGATGTCTGCTGGAGTCTGACACCAGGAGGCCTCAAGGCTGAGGGAGAGGCCGGATCCCACCACAGGATCCTGCACAATTATGGTGGATCTTCTTATCTACTCAACTTGGGCAGGAGAAGGAGTCCTTGGGTGTCGTCAGCCTTTAGGTCATGCTACTTGGACACCAGTGAGTACCACGCAGCCAAGTCTATCACCCACCTCTAGCATATAAGCCCCAGTTGACCCTTCCTCCATGACTGACAAGAAGTTAGCAGCAATGGGCATCATGGAGAGCTGGAGGGAGGACACCGGCCGGCACTGGTGCTGGTTCCAGTGAGCTCTTAGAGGTCAGGTAAGTGTTCCCAAGGGGAAAGTCACATGGTCTTATAATCCACAGGAGACGAGAAAGGGCACAAGGTAGGTAAAAATGTGCATGCAGCACCTCAGAACCACGAGGCGAGAAGTGCAGTTCTAACAGACCCTCAAGCCGGTTCTTGTCCCTGGCTGTGTGACAGAGCCTGCGGTGTTGTCAAGCTTCTCTGAGATTATGGTTAGACTGGTCAGTCAGGAGACCAGGGCAGCCAAGCATCCCAAAAGCACCTCCACCCTCCCAGCAGAGTCTAGTCAGGACAGAGAACTGAAGCCTTAGGCAGAGAACTAAACCGAGGGAGGTAAAGTGGGATGAGAGTAACAATCGGCCTGGCTGCCGGGGAGTAGGGACCACTGCCCACTGCGCACAGTGGGGCATGCTGTATGGTCCCACTTACCCAGGAAGCTGAGGCTCAGAAATCATTTGAGCCCACAAATTCGAGATCAACCTGGACAGTATGGACCCCTCTCAAAAGAAAAAGGGTATGCTGGGCGGTGGTGGTGCATGCCTTTGATCCCAGCACTTGGGAGGCAGAGGCAGGTGGATCTCTGTGAGTTCGAGGCCAGCCTGGTCTACAGAGTAAGTTCCAAGATAGCCAGAGCTACATGGAGAAAATCTGTCTCAACAAAAGAAAGAAAGAGAGGAAGGAAGGAAGGAAGGAAGGAAGGAAGGAAGGAAGGAAGGAAGGAAAGAGGGAAAGAAAGAAAGAAAGAAAGAAAGAAAGAAAGAAAGAAAGAAAGAA